TGTCAAATGGTAAAGTTAGCGAAGACCTTGAAGGAGGCTATTTGGTTAACCATTAATGTGGAGATCCAGATAATGGAAAAGAGTCTGGAGAAAGATAAGAAGGGACAAAAAAGGATGATTGAAGGATCCTCTAAATCCAAAAAAAAAAGTAGATTTTTGAAATCTAATTAGGAGGAGCTTGAGAGTAGCGACAAGGCACAATAGTGTGACAAGTGCTAATGAAATCACTTTGGTAGATGCACCGAACATGTGACTTGCATCATGTGTGGGAAGACTGATCACTATTCCATAGAATGCAAGGCCAAGCAGGAGGTTTGCTTCGAGTGTGGAGAAGTGGGGCATTTCAACATTGAATGGCCAAAGAGAGAGGAGCAGAAAAGTCAAATATTATGTCGAAGCCGAAAGCAAGGGAGTATCATATGATCCTTCATGAAACAAAAATAGGTTGATAATAAAGAGCGACTTATATGGAGTTTGTAATATGAGGAGAAAGTGAGTAAACCTAATTTAATAGGCATGAAGTATAAATAAATCTTCTAACTGTTTTAATGTTATGTGCTTTCTATATGATTTCCTTTTTATGATAACGTAGTGAACTATGGGACAATACTTGGGACAAGTACGAGTAGGTGTGAAGGGTAGTAGAGGCTTATACTATTGGAAGCAGATGACTCCCACTTGGATCAGGAAAAGTCATAAGGTTTCTAAGATGCTGGTAGTTGAGCTATTTTATTCGTTTCAACCATTACCTTTGTTTCGGTAATGACTACAGACACAAATATTCCAACCTTATTAGGCATAGGAAATCAAGTCCGACTAATCTACAAAATACGCTCAACGTAGTTTCCGATTTTAGATTGAAGGAATAGATAATCAAAGCGATCAATAAAAGTATCGTAATCATCATTAGGACTATGAAGCTTGTAGCTAGAAGTGATACATGCTATAATTTCATTATATCACATTAGAACATGAAGGAATGTATCGTTCATGCTAGATTCCGATTCAAAGAGACTTGATTCTAACCGGTGCATCATACAATGATAAGTCAATAGAACATGACCCATTGATTTGTTATGGTAGTCAAAGTAAGGACCTTAATTTAGGTTAAGTCTATTCTAAGAAGAGTGTCAATCTCTAATAGAGACTGAATTTAGGAGGAAGGGCAAATGCATAATTTAGCATTGTCAACAGTTCAAAAGTTTCATGGTCAGAAACTCAATAACATAAGAGTTACAGTTATCACCTAGGATGCAAAGGTAACGTGTAGAGTCTTTATTCAAGACCAGTTTTCGTGATGACTCCAGGATGTAATCATCCTAAGGGGGAGATAATGGTAACATCCATAGATTCGAGCTAGTTAATTAAATATAATAAGATATAAAAATCACATTATTTATAGAATCTTATTTAGGATAAATAATCTTAGCCAAGTTAAGGTATATGTGAAAAGGATTGCGGACATATAAAGAACTTTGAAATCCGACTTTGTAGGAAGAAATTATGCTTCTTCAAAGTCTCACGATTAAACCGATACGACATCGAGTTTCATAAATAGTTAATCGGAGATAGATTACTGATTAACCTAAGTAATCTAAACAAAAGCCATAGTAATCATAAAACCGAGAGCATTCACGTAGAGAATGCCCAAATCTAACTTCGTAAGACGAAGTTACGATTTTTTAAAGTTTCAACGCAGTAGTGTGCACCATTGGTATTGAATTATACACCAATTAGTTATTATCTGAAACAATCTAAACAAGAATCTAAGATCTCGTTAATAGGAAGTCGTCGATATAAAGAAAGTCGAGAACGGAAGTTGGATGAAAGAGTTATAAATTTTTAATGGACTTTAACAGTGTAGGCTTGTTAACAATAGAACTTTTAAAATAAACTCAAAATTAGCCAATGGGTTCTAAATGGAAGCTGTATATCTCATCGATAGCTATGCATAGATATAAAACCCGTCAAAAATAGATCTCGTATGAAGAAGATATAAATTTTCTAAGAAACATTCTTAGCGTATGCCCGTACGCACAGACAACTTGAACGACATGCATTGTTGCTCCACCTAGAATGTGACACGTGGCACCATGCAGAAAACAACATGTCATCAATTCCAACCAAATTCATGACATATAGGGGACATGTGTGTGGCGTGCACTTTGATTTCGGCTATAAATACCCTACATTGCCTCAATCAAATACCATACCCTTCAAAAGTTTCTCTCTCGAGTTTCTCTCAATTTTAAGGCCATTTTAACTTAGATTTTAGTATATGGCGAAGCCCTAAGGTCCATGTGAGGCCGAATCTAGTAGCTAGTAGGTCGGACTTTTACTAGTATAATTTATGGACTTTTGTCAGGAAAGTCTATGTAAGTTAAGCTACACTCATATATCTTTCGACATAACTTATATTTATAGTCATAAGTTGTTATTATGAACCTATAAATAAGATTAATTAGTGATTCCAAGTCATTATATTGATTGATCTACTTGCGGGGATGATGTCTAGGTTGGATTTAGTGAGGTGTTTAAAGTGGGATATCCAAATAGTATATTATCTATACCAAACGAACCCTATCCTCCGATATGATCATACTTGGTTGTTCCTTACTTGATAGATCTTTTTGTAGACATTGGGATGAGTGAGGAAACTATACTATCAATTAGTCAGCAGGAAAGTAGGACTAAGAGTTAGTGATATTCCTACCTAGGTCACGTCAAAAGAAAAGGAAATATACCAAGGCGAAGTTATGCCCGAATTACGAGGCATATGCTTTTATCAACTGAGTGCATAGTCCCTTTCATAAACATGATTTTAATACAAGTAGTGATTAAAGTATTAAATATACGATAAAGAGTTTACATGTGAACTATATGCTTATTTCCTAGAATATGTGTTGAGAACATATTTGATAATATATGATATGCAAACCAAGTACGACTCTATATGCATTAAGATATATATATTATAACATTGCAGGATTGAAATCCCTATTTTCTAACCAGGTTCCTCGACCTGACCCAATCAGTTTCTTCATATCACATGTAGAGATACGAAGGTACTTGATATTTGGATCTGAAGATAGATTGAAGGAAATATATACCATTAGATACTGTAAGGCCTGTAATATCTTCAGTATGTTGATGTTATTGTATTGATGATGACATGCCAAAAATTTTAATGAAATAACATTTCTTCGGAAATGCTCTGTAATAGTTTATCATGTTATTAAGAACAAATTCCGCATTATAATTCTTTTAAAAAAGGATACTCTGACATAAATAAGCATAGTTAAATTGGTTTTTTATAACCGTGAAAATGGGGATGTCACAACATATATCCTCAACCAATGAAAGAAAACCCAACTGCTCTGCCCGAAAACTAAACACCCTAACTCATGTCTGACATCCCGATAGACAGAACCATCCCATGCCATATCCATAAAGACTCCAATCCTCAACCAGAACCGAACAACACCCTTCTAACACTGAATTATCTTTGCTAGTAACTGAAAAAAACTGAATCATTTGCCATTCATCACTGCTGAAACCTTGCATCCGAAAACAAAGGCGACTCCCAACGTGAGTCTCACCCATAGGTGCCGAATTGATACATAACTCACATCTTCATACCTAAAGATTCACATAATGAATATAACAGATAAAGGCTACCCTAGTATATCTGTCACACAGATCCAATTCATTGATCATGGAGTTTCCCTACTCCAACGTGATTTAACACCTCAACTATGTTAGTCACAACCGGGTCCCACCCTCATGAGTCACGCACTTACTGATCCATGATACACCATGGCATCATCTAACCAGCTATAGCAATTAATATTGGATATCACAATGATCTCACCATCACTCCAGCATCGGTCCTTAGATTTACGACCAACACCTCATATCTTAATCATATCCTCGATTGTTTGAATGATCTGTTTACCCATGATAACCTAACCAGATGAGCCTCACCCATGAGTCTCACTAAACACGATATATATATATATATATATATATATATATATATATATATATATATATATATACACACACACACACACACACACACACACTAAACACGAAATAGTAGATGATTTAGCAAAACAGTAGCCGAATTTAATTACCTACGGTTTCGTGGACTGTTTTGGAACATTTCATAATTTTTGTTTAAAAATGGTTAATTACTTCCTTAATTTGGCTAGATTAGTGATTACCCCTATTATCAATGGTTGTGTTTTAATTGGATATTTATTATTGTATGAAAATAATAGTTTAACAATTAATTGAAAATTATTGTTTCTAATAAATAATAATAAAAGAAAACAAAATAAAAATAGTTATATTCATATGTCATGAATATGTAAGTCATGTAGAATTAAATGAATACTTTGAGTAATCATATAGTTGAACTTGTAACTTGCTAGAAACACTCTTGGTCTTGACTTTCTTGTCAAAACCTCCAACCTCTACTTAGATGTTGAGTTTGTGTGTTATCTTTCTTATTCATTCACACCATACTTAGATGTTGAGTTTGTGTGTTATCTTTCTTATTCATTCACACCATGCTTGTCATAAGGTGCCATACTCTCATTTGATGACTAGTTTTGACTTGGTTCATTAGTAGAAATATATAGGGAAGGCATGAAGCATAAACTACAAAGATTTTCACTCTTTTCTCTCATTTAAGGGCTACAAAGTTCGTGGTTTTGGAGTCCTCTTTGCCTCTCATATTTCTTTCAATTTGGTGCATGAGCTAAGTGTTTATAAGTTGCTTCTCTTTAAGTCTTATCTAGTATATGTCTTAAGGCTTAAGAACAATTTTATACAAGTAAAGACTAATATGTTTTAGTGGTTGACCATTGCTTTGGTGGATACATTATAGAGACCTTCTCCAAGGGCGGTCCTACAATCGATCATTACATAACAAAAACTAAATGTAACATGTGTCATGACAAAAATGATTACACAAACAAAAAATAAATAACATTCCAAATCAAACATTATCACTCAATAAATAAATTATAAAAGACTGATCAAATCTTCTATATAAATTAGTATTCACAACTCCTTGGAAGTGTATCTAAAGTATAATGGCCAAGTCTCCCAGTTCTATACAAATTAATAAGCTTAGTAGCAACTACGCTATTAGCATCTTCAAACGAATCTAAACTCACATTGAAAGCTTTTCTAAGTGTTGTAAATTGTGCTTCAATGAGTTGTACCATATCCTTCTCATCTTCCATGTTACCTTTGAAAGATGCAATCTCTTGAAATAGAGCTCCACGAACAGATTGCACCACACAATCCTAAACCAAAATATTAAACTTTTCAAATTTATTATATTTTTCATTATTTTTTTTTTCTTTATTATAGCATCCTACTTGTTTATTGTAATTTTGGTCCCTCTTTCTTCATAGGAAAAATCACTAATTTTTCCATTATATAACTTTTTTTCTTTCATATTAAAGTAAATGAAGGAAAACTATAAAAAGAGAATTATATAAGAGGCAAATTAGTCATTTTACTTGGGACCATTTTTGTAGTTTACTTTAAGAAGTTTCACAAAGAAATGAAAGTAAGATATTATGATGAATAAAATATATTAAAGGGTTAATCTCGTAAAAGACCTTATATTTTGTGTTTTTTCAGGATTAAACCTCTAAGTTTATTTTTTTTTCCCAAAAAAGACGTTGCACTTTTTCATTTTTTCCCAAAAAATCCCCCAACCTTCTAACTGCTTCCAAATAAACCCTCAACTTTTTTTAGTTTTTCACGAAAAAACCTCACATTTTACAATTTTATTTTTGGAAAAAAATCAAAAATGACTAAAAGGTTCGGATCGGAAAAAATGAAAAAATATAAGGTCTTTTTAAGGAAAAAATTAAATTAAAGATTTAAACCGAAAAAAACACAAAATATAAGATTTTTTTATGATATTAAGTATATATTAAAAATAAGACAAAATTGCAAGAATGGTCCCTGTGTTATGTCACGACTCGTAAGTTTAGTCCACAAAGGTTTGCACTCGCGCCAATGGTCCAATACTTTGCTTTTGTTGCGAATTTAGTCCAATTTGTTTTGAATTTTTTTAAAATGACGATTTTGGATTTCTATAATCAAAATTTTATCGAATTTCTTTTTGGGATAATGACAGAAAAACCCTTAAGTTTGTAAGTTTTTGTCGTTTTTACCCGAAGTCATATTTTATGTCTATTAATTTCTCAAATTTGAAACTTTTTTTTTTCAATTTTACCCTCTAGTTTATTAAAGTCCATAAATATTCAGTTTTACCCTTTTTTTTGTTCATAAAAGCCCTTAAGTTTTGTTTTCTGGTTCATTAAAACCCTTAAGTTTGACAGAAATGTTCAGTTTTACCACATAAATTAGCAAAAAGGGTAAATTTGAAAAAAAAAAGTTGCAAATTTGAAGCTACTTTGGGTAAAACCGAAAAAAACTTACAAATTTAAGGGTATTTATGGCATTTACCCTATCTTTTTTCTTTTTCTTTTTTGATTTCTATAATAAAACAAAATAAAAAAAGGAAAAATACCAAGGGCAAATATGTCTTTTTTGATTTCTATAATAAAAAGTTTTCCAAACCTTTTTGGACTAAACTTGCAAGTTGTGACATAACACAGGGACCATTCTTGCAACTTTGTCTAAAATTAATTCTTATTGATAACATAACACTTGGATTCACATATAATGATAATTACTATTAAAAAAAAGAAAAACAGTAAAATAAATAAATAAATATACCTGTGTATGATCATTCATAATTTGATTCTCTTTTTCATCCATGGTGGAAACATTGTCCCACTTCTTATATTCATCACTAAAGTTCAATATTGAGAGGAAGTATTGACCAAGCATTGACTGGTCAACCAAAGAGTCAACAAAACCTCCTACATTTATAAAATCAATCCATAAATAAAATCCTAAATTCATTTCTTTCTAATTATAGAAATTCCTTAACTTTTTACCAGTTAAAGCTAATTTAGAAGACAGTTGAGCATCAAGAATCTCAGGAGGCAAAATCCCAGGGGTGTCCAAGATATAAATATTGGGATTGCTAGCAATCTGAAATTAAAATATTATTATAAAAATAATAAAAGTAAATAAATATTAAACTTGAAGCAAGAAATATTATTGTGTAATTTATACCTTATAACTTGTGATGTTTTTTGTCTCTCCTGGATGCGGGCTCACAGTGGCATGTTTTAACTTTCCTTTTTCTTGGAAAATAAATAATTAAAATGTTAGAAGCATGAAAAAAAAATACCCCTGGCCTTCAATTTAGTAAAGAATCCATTGATTCATTAAACATGCAATGGACACATACACCTACTATAGAATTCTTCTAACTTGAATTCAAAAATTCCCAAAATACCCTTGTCCTTAAACTTTATTTGTGAAAAACCCATTGATTCGTTAAACATACAATGCACATACATGTAATACAAAGTTCTTCTAACTTGAAAAAAATTCCCAGAATACCCCTGTCCTTAAACTTTATTAGTAAAGAATCCATTGATTCATCAAACATGCAATGCACATACACCTGATTCACAGTGCTTCTAACTTGGAATTTTGAAAAAAAATTCCCAAAATACCCCCATCTTTAATTTTTATTAGTAAAGAACCCATTGATTCATTAAACATTTATTAGTAAAGAACCCATTGTTTCACAAAATCTTTCACAATGTAATTTCGAAATATAATTATTTTCAAAAACAAAAACTTTTATTTTCAACCTTTTATAAATTTTAAATGTGGGGACCATTCATAAAGCAATTTTACAATTCACAACTGATGCTCATTTTATGCTACTGATCAAAAAGTTGATCAACTTCTCAAATATCACATCATATTGTGTTCATTTTTCTCATTACCCCCCTTAAAACACACTTCTGTGTGTGTAACAAAAAATTAAAATTACCTGCAGCACTAATTCTTCCAATCTGGTGTAAGGAATTTGCAAAAGCCGATTTCCCAACATTTGGAATTCCAACAACCATTATTGTAGTTGTTTGAGTGTTACTAGAATGTGTAGCCCTTCTTATGTCTCTAATTCTTGCTTGTAAAAAGTTTAGAAACTACAAATAAATACATTTAAGAAAATAAAAAATAAAAAATAATAACTTCCAAGTGAAACCATATAATTTCTTCAAAATGGTGTATTCTTTTAGCAACCCCTGAGCTGATACACACTGATACTGCCCCTGAAGTAAGATACACAGGGGCCCACTAGAAGCTCAATCCACATTGGAATTGAAAATCAAAATGATAACTAAAATACTAAACTGCACAAATGGTCCCTGTGGTTTACTCAAAATTGCCACTTTGGTCCAAAAAAGTTTGGACTAGCATCACAGGTCCAAAGTTTTCACTTTGTTGCAAGTTTGGTCCGATTTTTTATGAATTTTTATAAATGACGAGTTTGACCTTTATTTTTTTAAGTACTTTAATGTTTTCTAATTAAAAGAAAAATAAAAAAATAAAATTAAACCTTCAACCCACCCTCTCACTTTTAACATACTAACACTCTCCCTCTCTCTTTTCATTTGCTACCAGCGCACCACCATCGGTGCCACCCATTTAGCCGGAGCACCAACATTGGTGCTATCCATTTAGCCACCACCTAACAACTCAAAACCACCGCCACTCTAATCTGCAACTCGAAGAAGGGAGGTCCGACACCATCTTCCTCAGCAAACCACAGATTTTCGCTGCCTTCATTTCTATACTTTTCCTGCGGTTCGCCGTTCCTCAGATCTGAAAGCCTCCACCAACCTCAGACAGGAAAACCCTCGTATGTGAAAGCCTCCACCACCATTTGGGAACCCTAACCCTAGCCGCTGTCAAATCTAAACCACGACGAACGATACAGCGAGGTAGGGAGACCCTAAACGACCGATTGGAGCAATGAGTTTGAACAAATCTCCATTGTGTTTTCAGATCTGCAAGAAGGTAACACCAGAAGATGGTGTTGTCTTCGACAGAGTTGCTGGCGGCGTTGTAGAGATGTTGCCGATCTAGAGCTTCAGAGCTGGTTGAGGTACCGGCGGCGGAGCCACCCATCAATTTTTTTGAAACCCTAGCTGGTTCATGTATCAAATCTTGAACAAATGTATGTATTTGGTGTTAGAAAATCTCTGGATTTTGTATGTTAAATTTCTGAATTCTGTCTATGTATTCATCTGGAGAAGAGAGCGGTTTCATCATGAGAGAAAGAGAGAGAGGGGGGTATGGTGGCGGCTCCGGCATGTGGAAGTGGTGGTTGTTCACATTTTACCGGCAAGTGATTGAGAGAGAGAGAGAGAGAGAGAGAGGTGTTGACTGGTGGTGGTGTCGTTGACCGAAAAATCAAGGGTGGTTGCAATGGTAACCGGTGATGCTTCTAGGGGTTGACCGGTGGCGGCGTTGCTGACCGGTGGTGGTGGTTTTACCGGATGACGATGAAGAATGGGGAAGAAGGGGTCTAGTAGCAGGGAATAGAATAGAATGGTGAGGCGTTGAGGGTTTAATTTTATTTTTATTACTCTTTTAATTAGAAAACATTAAAGTCATTAAAAAAAATAAAAAAAATTGAAAAATGAAGGGCAAACTCGTCATTTAAAAAAAATTCAAAACAAATCGGACCAAATTTGCAACAAAATGAAAACTTTGGACCTGTAGTGCTAGTCTAAACATTTTTGGACCAAACTGGCAATTTTGAGCAAACCACAAGGACCATTAGTGCAGTTTAGTCTAACTAAAAAGTAAATCAAGAATGTGTTTAAAGCTACCTCCTTGATATTGTCTTTGTTATGAGAATTTATAGCATAAGGTGTGTAATTTAGCTCCTTAAAGTATGTCATCCATTCCTAAAAGGTTAGGAAAATAAAAGAAGTATAATTAGCATTATGAATTAGTTGAAGAACAAATAACTACATGTAAAGTGTAAATATAAGCTACTCTTGTAGGAAGAAAGTGGTTTCATTCTTTTTATTAAGTTGTTACAAAAGGTTGTAAATTGAATTTAAGTAAGTGGTTTGATTCTTCTTAAATTTAAGTTTGAGATTGTTGGTTTTATTAAAAGATGATAAAATTTTAGCATGATGCCAATCACTCGATTATTATGACTAAAAAAGATTGTAATGGATTTACATTGATTAGTTTATTATAGCATCCTATTTTCATTTGAAAAATCCATCCATTTATAACAATGTTATCGAAATCAAAAAACAATTTTCACTAATATAATCATTTAGGTTTTTTAAAATATACTAAGGAAATTGAAACTAGAATGCTATAATGGGTATAGTTTTTAAAGTAAAATGTATTAATAAGAAAAAAAGAATTGTATATAAAGTGTTGCTGATTCTTGAATTTAGCCCTAACATTAAAGATTGTAAACTTTCATTTGTGGAAGAAAATGTAGAATGTATGTGATCATAAGATGTGTAACATGCTAACATTCATAAGTGAATCATGTATAGAAGCAAGTTAAAGCAAAACAAGTGATAATTTCAAAAGAATCTATCACCTTAGTTTTTGAGCGACTTGCAAGATCCATTTTGTTCAGTACGATAATGTTCTTTGAGGAAGATGGAAAGTTTCTCAATTGAGCATACTCTGAGGACAACGGAATCTGAAAGGAATACATGAAGCGAGTGTCTGTTTATTTATAGGGCTATGTAAATTACAGAAAAGCAAGTTCGTAAAGTAATCGCTCAAACAAATAATGAAAGGTCGGTAATTCAATAAGGGAAAAGGCCAAGGACCCAACGTAGTTCTCTGAGACATTTCATCGAACAGTTGGTATCCGTTAAGAAAGCGGATGGAACTTACCCTAGCGTCTCTGACTTCAAGGACAAGATCGACAAGTGGAATTCGCTCAAAAATGGCACGAGATGCAGCACGCATGTGATGATTGTACCACCAACTTGAAGATTTGCTTTCTGAGACTTTCATAATTGAATTCCCCAATTTTTTAACAAAACTAGCCGTTCCCACCATTGTTATCAGGATTTTGAGGTCCCGAGGACAAAGTTCAAGCCTTTAGTACGTTGGTGTCATGGTTAAGTTCCAACGATTTGTTACTTGTAATGTCACAAGGTACACGGTGTTTGTGGCTGAAGATACTTAGCCTTGGGTTCCCAGTTTCGTGGACGAGAAAAATGTATGCAGCGAGGAGGAGGCGGGTGAGGGTATATTGATTCCCTCAAGGAAGATTTAGGAATATCCGATGACGAGAAAAACTTAGAAGAAAGGAGAATTTAGAGCAGGGGATGATCTCTCTGAGGATGATGACGATGTAGATGGATCAGAGGTGGGTTCGTCGAGACAAGAGGTAGAAGATGATCGAGTGATCGCCCCCCTGGTATCATCTGGTCGGAAAACTTCGTCTCCGGTGAACAACTTGGTGGATGAAGCATCAGTGGCAGCCTAATCGGTTCATGTGGAGCGCGTCATTATTGAAGGGCAGATTTCCAAGGCGGCAGGAGATAGGTGGTGAACATGCAAATCTTGAGCCGAATGAAACATCTTCGGATCACAGGAGTGATGAGCCTCTAGATATGGGCCAAGATAGAGCAACTGTGGACCATTGGCGTGATGGACAATTTGTATTACCACACACCACCCCTAACCACCACAAGGTCTCCGCCCAACGGCCGCCTGTCGTGGAGATACTTATCCTTACCGGAACACGTACAACATGCATTATCTAACTCTAACATGCATTATCTAACTCTGCACCTCGCCTCGACCACCAATAAATAACAATAAATAACACTGGTCTCATGCATTTGTACCGTGAGTCAAGACATAAGTGATAGGTCTAGGACGTGTAACTCTATGCAAGATCCAAATGCAGGTAATATTAGTGTGGTCTCAATAATGGAGGTCCAAGGTCTGTCTACATTACCCGACCTTAATTGCTTAGCTTCTTCCTCACCAATTAGCTCCGACTTCACAAAAATGTTGTCGAATCGTAAGAGAGATTCAAATAAAACTCCATTCAAACGTCCACATCACTCGTTGAAACTCAAAGATACTATGTGGATGCCCAGAGCCTCGCAACCCCATTGCACTCGGTTGCAATGTTGCATCTCGTGCCCGTATGGATGATCTTACTCCTCATGTGCATTGTGAATAGGTGCTCCTCAACAACATAGATAAGGAAGTTAATGATACGCTTAATGTGGGTAAGTGTCTGGCTTTCAAATGGATGGTTTCCGCGATCAGGTTAAATCGTTGGTGAACGAGTCACATGTGCAAAATGATTTTTAATGAATTTTCTATCTCTTAATATTCGGGAGCTGGTAATTCCATAAAGATGGAATGGGTACAACGTCTAAAAAGATCTAATAAACTACACTTTTTGGCTTTTCAAGAATCGCAATTTTTGGACTCTTCCCGTATTGATGGTGAGAATCAGGTTGGCTATTGATGGCGAAGAGAACTCACGTTATTTTCATGGAATCATTAAGAGTAACATCCCCAATAATAGAATAAACGGGGCTGTCAATAAATGGTGTATGGTCCACTGACCCGGTAGCAATAAAGAAGGAGGTTTTTTCTTTTTTCAAAGAGAAATTCACTGATCATGCAACTACCAGGCCTAGATTAGCTGGTAATTTTATAAAGATGTTATCGGTTGTGGGTGCGTCTTTTCTCCTGGAGAATTTTAAAATGGAGGAAATAAAAGATGTTGTATGGAGCTGTGGGAGCGAAAAAGCACCAGGGTGTGATGGATTCTCATTCAAATTCATCAAAAGCTTTTAGGAGATCTTGAAAATTGATTTTCTTAGGGTTTTCTAACAGTTCCATTCTTCAGGAATCATAAACTCGGGTTGCAATTCTTCCTTTATTACGCTCGTGCCCAAGGTGATGACCCTTTGTGTTTGGTTGACTATCGCCCAATCAATCTTATTGGATGTGTATATAAGGTTATCTCAAAAGTGTTGGCAAATCGGTTGAAGAAAGTAATTGGGTCGGTGGTGGGGGAGGTTCAATCAACTTTTATAGCGGACCGGAATATTCTTGATGGACCATTGATGATTAATGAACTGGTTACATGGCTCAAAAAGATGAATAGAGAGGCATTAATTTTAAAAGTTGAGTTTAATAAAGCGTTTGATTCACTGAGTTGGGATTTCTTGATATCAACCATGGATCAGTTGCGCTTCCCATCAAGGTGGTGTCAATGGATACTAGGATGTATCTGATCCTCACGTTCCTATTGTTAACAAATATCCTGATGTTTCCCCGATGATCTGTCTGGACTTCCCCCGGACAGGCAAGTAGAATTCCGAATTGACCTTGTGTCTGGTGCTGCTCCGATTGCAAAGACTCCTTATCGTCTTGCGCCAGCCAAGATGAAAGAAATGATGATCCAACTGCAGGAATTACTTGACAAAGGCTTTATTTGACCGAGTACCTCTCCCTGGGGTGCTCTAGTATTGTTTGTCAAGAAGAAGGACGGATCGATGCGAATGTGCATTGATTATCGTGAGCTGAATAAGGTGACTATCAAGAACAAGTACCCGCTACCTCGCATCGACGATTTGTTCGATCAACTTCAGGGTGTTAGCTATTTCTCAAAGATTGATTTGAGATCTGACTATCATCAGTTGAAAGTACAAGAGCAAGATGTACCAAAGATTGCTTTCTGTACTCGTTATGGGCATTTCGAATTCCTTGTCATGCCATTCGGTTTGACAAATACTCCTGCTGTATTCATGGATATGATAAATCGAGTATGTCGCCCAATGCTCGATAAGTCTGTCATCGTATTCATTGATGATATTCTAATCTATTCCAAGTCTGAAGCTGATCATGCCGTTCATATTCGTGAAATCTTAGAACTTCTTCGAAAGGAGAAACTTTATGCTAAATTCTCAAAATGTGAATTTTGGCTTCGTCAAGTTCAATTTCTCGGCCATGTTATTTCTAGTGACGGTGTATCCGTAGATCCTATCAAAATCAAAGCCATTCAAAATTGGGAAGTGCCTCGTAATGCTTCTGAAATTCGAAGTTTCTTAGGTTTCATGGGATATTACTGGAGATTCATTAAAGACTTTTCTCGTATAGTCGTACCTCTCACGAGTCTTACACGGAAGGAAGTGAAGTTCGAATGGGGTGAAGCTCAAGAAAAAGCTTTCTCAACTCTAAAAGATCTTTTGACTCATACTCCAATCTTATCACTCCCAGAAGGTGATGATGATTTCTCCGTGTATAGCGATGCTTCAAGATTAGGACTCGGTTGTGTGTTGATGCAGCGTGGTAAAGTGATAGCCTATGCCTCAAGACAACTAAAAGATTATGAAAAGAATTATCCGACCCATGATCTTGAACTCTCTGCAGTGGTATTTGCCCTAAAACTTTGGAGACATGACCTTTTTGGTACTAAATGCCAATTGTTCACCAACCACAAGAGTCTCAAGTATATATTTAGTCAGCAAACTCTGAATATGAGGCAACAACAAGCCATGGAGCTGATCAAAGACTATGACTACGAAATCCTGTACCATCCTGGAAAGGCTAATGTGGTTGCAGATGCACTTAGCAGGAAGGTTTATCGTAATAGTATGTGTTATACTATTACTCACACAACGGTGAAGTTCACTATTCTTGATGAACTAGAGAAGTGGCAAGTTGAGGCCTTAAAGCCAAAAAATGTGAAGAATGAAGGAATGGTACATTATGCTGATGTTTTACTTGATGATCCATGAGGATTAAAAGTATTTAAGAATCGGCTATGGATTCCAAAGATTGGTGGATTAAGACAGAAGATTTTAGATGAAGCTCATAATTCTAAACTATCAATACATCCTGGTACAAGTAAAATGTACTATGATGTAAGAGCTGATTATTGGTGTCCTGGATTAAAGAGAGACATTGGAAGATATGTACAGGAATGCTTAGTATGCTTACAAGTCAAAACAGAGCTCCAAAAGCCTTACGGAACTCCAGAAAGCCTAGTGTTCCTGTATGGAAGTGGGAAGAGATGTCCATGGGTTTTATTACCAAATTTCCAAAGACTGCTAGACAGTATGATAACATTTGGGTAATCGTCGACCGCCTGACTAAGAGTGCACATTTTTTCCAAAGACTTCTAGACAGCATGACAACATTTGGGTAATCGTCGTCCGCCTGACTAAGAGTGCACATTTTCTCACCATGCGTGAAACGGCTCCAATGGAGAAATACACACAAGTATACTTGGATGAAATTGTTGCAAGACATGGTGTGCCACTAAAGATCATTTCCGATCATGATACTCGCTTCACTTCTCACTTTTGGGCGAGTATGCAACGTGAATTAGGATCTCGAGTTGCTCTCAGCACCGCTTATCATCCCCAGACAGTTGGTCAGACGGAGAGAACAATCCAAACAGTAGAAGATATGCTTCGTGCATGTGTCTTGGAGTTCGGTGGTAACTGATATAAATACTTGCCTCTTGTCGAATTTTCGTATAATAACAGTTGTCACACTTCAATCAAAATGCTACCATATGAAGCATTATATGGTCGCAAATTTCGTACGCCGTTATGTTGGCATGATGTAGGACGGAAGATCCTTGGAGGCCCTGAAATGATTCAAGACACCACCGACAAGATTCAAATCGTACGAGAAAGAATGAAAGCGGCCCAGGATCGACAGAAGTCCTATATAGAAAAGAGAAGACAACCTATATAATTCCAAGTGGGTGATTTCGTAATGCTGAAGGTATCCCCATGGAAAGGCCTTATGCGATTTGGGAAGAAAGGAAAGTTGAGTCATAGATTTGTTGGTCCTTTCAAAGTCAGCCAAAGAATTGGAAAGCAAGCATACCGCTTATAATTTCCTGAAGATTTGGCAGGTATTCATGATGTGTTTCATGTAAGTTATCTGCGCAAATGCTTGAGCATCTATGACGAGACAGTTCCATTATACAAGGTGAAATTGGATAATAAGTTAAGATATATTGAAGAGCCTGAAGAAATTGTGAATGAAAGAACAACTAAGCTACGCAATAAAGAAGTAGAATTGGTGCTTGTCAAGTGGAAACACCATCGAGTCCCAAACTATACTTGGGAGAATAAGAATGAGATAAAAGCAACATATCCCCATTTATTTTAATCGATGTAATTTCAGGGACGAAATCCTCAAAAGGAGGAGGTATTTGTAACATACACATTTTAAATTCGTGTTTTTTAATGAATAAAATTGTGAAATACTATGTGAAATTGAGTGTTGAGTTCTAACAAATGGTTTTTACTAGAAATGAAGTAAAACTATGTTTAGAATCAATCAGAAAATATTGGAAGTCTTATGAGATTCCAATTAAAAGCCAAATAGTGAAATTTAACGAATATATAAAATTTTAAATAAGTAAAATTTTATTATTGAAAGTTGTAGAGAATCTCGTTAGAAGTGTTTAGGCGAAAACCTCGTCGAAATCCGAGTTATAACGAAGAAGTTATGGTCAATCGAAGATCTACGATAAAACCGACACGACGCCGAATGATGTAAAAAGTGAGTTTTTGATAAACTATCTTTAGCCTTAGTAATCTAAATGAAAGTCTTAGTATTCGTTAAACCAAGAAATTTGATAAAAAGAACGCCAAAATATGACTTCGTATGAGGAAGTTATGATTTTTCGAAGTTTCAACTTAGCAGTAGACAGCTAAAAACTCAAATTTTAGATCGAGCGATATTTGACCGATACATCCTAAATGAGAATCGAAGGTATCATCATTTGTAGTACAACGGTAAAAAGCTTGATGAAACGGATGTCAGATGCAGAAGTTATGAATTTTTAACGGATTTTCCTATCTCGGTCTGTTAAAAATAATAATATTAAAAATAAAGTAAAAATTAGCCGACGAAGTCTAAACAAAAGTTGTAGAGCGTAATTTTAGCTACGTGTGCATATAAAGAACGTCAAAAACGGAGCTTGTATGCGAAAGTTATGGATTTTAGAAGTTTGGGGCCCAAAATCCGAGAAATCTCGCATGAATAGTGCCAGGCCACGTCACCTCGCACGAAGCAGCAGCGTATCCGAGACGTGGCCCAAGTCCAATACCAACACGTGTTCTCTTCTGATTCGCCGGAGGCTGAGGTCCAGTAAGAACGAGACATGTTTCGCATCGGTGGCCAGTCCGATGCGAGCCACGTCCCGCCTACCAGCCTCGCTGTTGATGCCACGTCCAAGCCTCGCAGCGGCC